CTTATCCCAAAACTCCAGGTTTGGGCAAATACCCCATGGTTCTAACAGACCAATTTCTGGCACTCAGCTAAGAGGGATTTTGTTGCACAGGGATACTGTTTTGTATGTGTATCCCGCTGTGATTCAAAATAGCTGTTTTCTCAGGCTCGTCCATTCAGAATGATATCATGTCCCAAGTACTCTCGTTAAATTAATTGCCTGAGTTTTCTTTGTTTTACATGGTTGGATAAGCAAGGCTTGTTGCCTGTGAGCTCATGGAAATAACTTCATTTGAACAATTGTTCCATCCATCTCTCTACAGTCTCTATAGAAGATAATTAAAATCCATTTCCCGCCCCAAACAGAAACCATTTGTAACCATGACATATAGTTTGCAGCCATTTATTTCCTCGGATCTTTGTATCTTTCCCATGTCAATTTATTTAGCATCAATTAGATTGGGTTTAAAAAGCAGAAATCAAAGTAGGTAAACAGCTCTGAACATTTTTTCTTCCTAGCACAGGGGTTTAATTCCATACAGGTAGAAGCTGCAAAGAAATACAGGCACAGAACAGCTACATATGTCCAAACATATCACATTTGGCTTACCCTCTAACACCAAAATGACATTTTACCCTAGAAGTGAGAATAGCAAAAACTATGGAAAAAAAATGCAAGTTTAAAAGTGAAAATGGCCTTCCACGACAAGCCTTGACATTACTGCCTGTGAAAACCAGGATTTTCCCATTTAGAAACTTGGAAGGACCTTGAAAATTGCTTTTCCTGCTCTCTGGGATGGTAGATTGCTCCCATCCCCTCTACTTCTTGCTGAGGTAAGTAAAGGGACAGTAATTAATCTTCACTTTTCCAAAATAACAAGCAGTTGGGCTGGAAAGATGGGAGTTCACCTCTAGAGGAAGAAAAGTGACTCTCCGTTGAACTGGGAGAATTTTGCTGACACAAAGGGCAGGAATTGGGTCCTTCGGGGCCACGAGGAAATGGGAGGAGGAAGGGCCTACACATCTGAAACAAGCCCATATTATACACTCCTCCTTGCCATCTATGGTGAAGCACAGTCAGGACTGCTGGTGATGCCACACCAGCACCCCGCTCTCCTCATCATCTGCACAGCTGTGTCCATGTGAAGGGCTGCACAGCCCTGCTCTGGCTATGGGCACCAGTGAGAAGAACATGAGGAGAGTGTGTATTCCGTCATTCCTGCATTCCTACCTGAGCAGTGAAACCACTGGCTGTCCCTTGTTTAAAGTAAAGTGTCATAAAAAATGGGTACTGCTTGCAAAACAGAGCAATGTACAGAAGTCTGATTCACATGCACAAAGTCCCTTAAGGCAGCAGAAAGAGCAACTTTCCCAGGTCTTGGACATCTGATGTATCTGTAGAAGTTCCAGAGCCAAGGAGATGACCTACACCAAAAGCACTGCAAATTGTCATGCTGCTAAATAACACCTTAGTTCCAGCTTTGCCTTATTCCAAACCCTGATATATACCTTGTCACATACCTTAACACTTATATATGAGCTGTCATGGAACAGGATCAAAGACAAAGTCCACACCCAAGAAATGCCGTCCAGGATTATATTCCTGCCTTAACCTACAGGAACCTAATCTTTTGAAGCTGAAAGAGGGGAAATTTAGGTTAGGTATATGGAAGAAATTCTTCACTGTGAAGGGTGGTGAAGCACTGGAACAGGTTGCCCAGAGAAGTTGTGGATGCCCTATATCTGAAGTGTTCAAGTTCAGGTTGGATGGGGCTTTGAGCAACCTGGTCAAGGGGGAGTGTCCCTGTCTATGGCAGGGGGGTTGGAATTCTATGATTTTGTCTCTTCCAACCCAAACCATTCTATGATTCTTTCAAGAACCTTATGCAGGTGTTATGGAAATACAACAGTTCCCATGCATAGTAGAAGGATGCAGCCATGGCTTGGGCCAGCCAACCAAAACCAGCTTGCAGTCTCCCCAGCACTGTAACAATAGCAAATAAGATGGGCCAACCTGAGTTTTCAGGAGATGTTTTCAATCAAAATACATGTCTGCCCCCTCACTTCACACCTGCTGAACCTGCGCTGCTGTGTCTTTACTACTGTTGTTACCAATGCTAATTAAAACTAGCCCTGGGTTTGCCTATACATGCTGCAGTCATTTTATTGTGTGGGCAAGCCCCAAGGTCCCAAACCTGCCAGAAGTCTGAATGAAGTCCTCTGTCTCAGGAGCAAACTCAGAGCTGGTATGACCATTTTGGGGCATGCAGCAGTTCATTCTCACTGGAGGCAAGTCGTCTAATAAATGAGCCAGTAACTTCAGTACAGCTGCAGATGCTCAGCCAATTGACAGTGGAGCTCTGAGCAAAAAACCAAAGGGAAGGACCTTCAGAAATTAGGATACTGCAGTCAAAGTGAACTTGCAGAGATTTACAAAAGGGAAGGACTTTCAGAAATCAGGATAGTGCAGTGAAAGTGAACTTGCAGAGAACTGGAGTTCTCTGCAAGGAGAACTTTACATTAAATTTCCAGGCATGCAGAGATTTGTCTTTCAAGTGCACATTCAGCATTCAGAAAATGTGCCACAAATTTTCTGACCTGTTTACATCCACTTTTAGAATATCTCAGACAGTATTATTTGACCCAGATTGTTACTACTAAGCTCCAAACCACTTGAATTAAGAATTTCTACAGGAAACCTGAAGGGGTTAGGAGTGGCAAAGGAAAATGCAAATGCACTTTCATAAAGCTGCTTAGCTGGAAAGAATTGCCAGAAAGTATCTTTGTGCTAATGTCAGCCAATTTTTCTGAATTCATTTTGAAACAATTCATCATTCATCCTCCTCACCTCCTTCCAATTTACAGCAGTCAGTGTAAACATAACCAGGACAGTACAAGCAGATGATAGAACACTTTCCTTTTAAGAAAGACGATGGCGTAACTTCATACCTCTATAAACTTCACTATATTTGGTAAAGATTTGGTAAAGGTTTGCATTCTATGACCACCATAGGAACAGTGGCGGTCATTTCTGTATACTTTGAAAAGCTAAGAAAATTCATCCACTACCCAAAAAATATATTCAAAGCAAGTAGCTTACAATAAGCTAATCTCTTTTTTTTTTTTTTTTTTTAAATATTATTAAACAGCAGAAGCAATCAGGCAGGCATAACACTTCAGTGCTCCAGTGTCTTAAATAAAAGTTGCAGGGATTTATTTGGTATCTCGCCTGGTGTCTGAATATGACCAAAAGAGGGATTTTTTTTGATAAGAAAGAATGTGGCACGCAAAGCACCGCAGAGGTAAGAGCCTTATACCAATCTCAACTTGTCATAGTTTTCAGTTTTGTAAAACTTAATGCATGGATCATACAGAAATTAAGAGCATTAAAATCAACAGCTGGTAGTAGTCAGGTAGAGATTAGACTTTTTCCCCATTAAAAATAAATACAAAAAAAGCACCACTGAATTACTTTAGACTAACAAAGGATGAATTCAAACATCACCACAAAAGTAAATTCTCTTAAAAAGGGCAGGACAAATCACTTCTAGTACAAATGTAAAGGATGCTGGGCAAGCTCCTTTTAACAGACAAGTTGTGCTTGTAAATGCAGGCAAATCTCTCAGCATATGCAGGAAAAACCTCAAAAATTTCAGCCAGTTAAACAAGACTCACCAGCCAAAACCATTAAATTCTGAAACATATTTACAAGACACCTTTTTCAGTTGAAGAACAAGGTGTTCAACCACAAGATGTTGGTGAGTAACAAGTCACATGTCTGTACACGCAGTGTTTTAAAAATCTAATTTTCTCTGCTCTTCTGGAAACAGAAGTATCACAAGCCTGTGATGGCAGAAAACTTCACAAAGAAAAATTTCATAGTTAAGAGAGAAACTCAAAGAGACCAAGGAAAATGAGACCAAATTTCAAGACGTTGCCAATTCTCAAGACTACTGTTACCATAAAAAGAATATAGAAACTAGAACTTTATTAAGTTGTTTTATAAAAGCCAAAGCAGCAGTGGTTGGGATTTGCTATTTGTTTTGATATGCAGACGACAAGGCCAATACAATGTGTTTAATGACTGCAGCTTCAAGTATAGAGAATGTGTGTGTACACAGGTTTTTGTTTTTTTTTTTAATGCAACCAATCAAGTCATGGCCCATCAGGTATGAACAAACTTTACATTTATGACAGAAAAATTGTTATGAGAAATAAAGCACATAATCAAATTCTATGTTACACAGCAGACTCTGGAGAAAATTGTCTACCCAGGCTTTAAACATTGTTAAGTCAAACAAAGAACTTTCTCAAGCTGAAACTTCTTTTCATGTGAAATGAATTTCCAGCTTTAGGGTCTACATGAAAAAAGAACTGCCCAAAAGCCTCTGTACCTTAGACTGAGATGCTTTTGAGGACGAAAATTGTTTTCTCCTTCATTCCACCCTTTACTAGAAGTACTTGGTGTGAAAAATTTTGGAAACTGATTTAACTTGAGTCAGTAGCTAAAGGGAACTCAAAATCTTCCAGAATAGGGCTTCCTCAGCAGCAGCAGTATGAACTACACACCTAGATTAGATCAGGAGTACAATTAATCTGAGACTGGCAGCTGGAAAACAAGCAGCAGACACAAGTGAAAAACATTTAAGAGGTCCTGTTCACTCTGTAACACTTGGGTGTCAGAGTCAAATGTACTGTAAGTGTTCAAACAATTTTCTGTCATTTGAACAGTTTCTTCAAGTTGTATGATTGCTAATGAATACTGAGATACCTCACTAGATTCTTCATTAATTCTACTTGTTTCAGCGAAAGCAATTATATCAGAATCATGATTGGAAATAAACCAGTGCTAGTCTTCCAGCTTTTCTAACCATGATGACAAACAGCTGTAGTTATTCTGACTTTTTGGAACAGTGAGAAAAATCCAGCCTTCTCCACATCTTACTCTACACAAAAGGTATTTGTTTGCATAATAAATATTTAGGGGTACAGCAGGTAGAATCAAACTCACAGGGGAATGAATACTAAAAGAATTAAGCTGGCCTTTTATTACATTGAGATTTCTTACTGACTGACAACAATCATTAACTGAAGTATAATAGGCTAGTAAAGCTGGACAGTTTGCATAGGTATTTTTAAACAAAAAAGAGAAAGATGACAGATAATTTTAAACACAGAAATAATCTCACCTAAAATAAGGACAATACAAAAATAATTAGCAGATTTACATTAATTTATCCAAGGCCACCTCTTCATGAACAGAAGGGAGCTAAGACCATAGTATATAAAAATAACACAATTTAAATTCTCTCAAATCTATTCCAGACAGAAACTAGGAAGTTCCCTTCAAAAGTTGTTCCTGCTTCAGATGAAGGAGAGGAACTGAACTCGAACTTGAAGCCATCAAATCCAACACTCTACCATGCTACTACTGAAAAAATAAAGCTCGCAAACTAACTGTACAACCTGTGGTCCTGATTCTGACATTTAAAAAATTATGAGAGACAAAATTATGGTCTATGAAATGAGACTGGTCACAGGCATATGTTAGTTAGGCCATACGTTCAATATAAATCTGTGATCTAAGCTTCTCTTTATAATAAGATTAGCTAGGTAAATCTGAGTTTACTATTTTTATCTGTTGCAAAGATCACATGAAAAAGTAAATAAAGACAATGACATTTTGTGACAGAGAAATTAAATACAAGGACCAATTAGGAAAAAAAAAAGAACCAGGAGCCCCAAAATACCTAGTAAGACTAGCCTACTAATTAGGCAACAACTTATACAGATAGATTGGAGAGGCTTAGTCATCACCTATTAGAAACAAATATGCAAAGGCTTCAAAAATTTATTTTTATCATACACAATATAGTGCAGTGAATATGAATAAACTCCGGCTGTTCATCAGTACAACAGAGAACATCAGATTATAAATCTAACTATTTTAGATACAGATGTGTTTTTAAAGTGGTATTTCTGAACCCTTGTAAATAGATGAACAAGCTTCCATTTCTGTAAGCAGTTCTGATGACAGTTCATTTACATTTACATTTCCTCAAGGCTCCTCTTGATAGCTTCTTGCAATTCTACATCTTGCTCTGTACAGATTAAAAAAAAAAAAGATTATAATCTCAAACTGTAGTTGATAACTAGTCATAAACACAACTATCTTAATATTACTACATAAAGCAACAAATTACTTCTGTGAGCAATGTCAGTAGACAGCAAAAAACCCCAGAGAAACGGATGAACATATTTTCCCTACTGTTGTATGCTATCTTTTCAACACTTCAAAATATAGAAAATACCTTTACAACTTTCCACTGTACTAACTAGGGACAGCCCAATGATTACTTTAGGAGCGTGATGCAACTATGTATTTAGTGGTCAAAATAACAGCAAGATTAGAACCCATGTGTATGCACCAACAAAAATAAACAAAGCATTAAAACAAAACACACACACAGAGAACAAGCAAAGAGGTTTCGGTCTTTTCATTCCAGTTCCATATCCATAGATATTCCCATACCTACATTCTGACTTGTCACTCTCGGTAGAAAGGCTAGGCAAGTAGAGAAAAAGTCACTATCAACAGTAAGAATAGGCTAGATCAGGGCTATACTGTAACATTTTTGTTGGGGGGGGGGAAGACTGCATTGTAACCATGTGACTTGTTAACAACCTCTCTTAAACAACTTTCATAATACTCAAAAAAGAAACTTCGATTTTGCACTACATTTAGGTAGGTTTGGGCACTAATTGTTTGGTGTTAGTGGATTAAATATCTTAAGTTAGACAAGGCATGTATGCACTGGAAATATTAAAATCAATAGTATAGTTGGAAAAATTAAAGCAGCTTTCAGACACGCTGTCATTCTTGAATTATTCCTCTGCTTTAGGAGGACATAAGCACATCCTATAAAAAAAAAAAAAAAAAAAGCCGTCTGTTCTTATGACAAAAGAAACAGAATTTTAAAACTTTAATTATTGTTGGGCTGTTGTACGTAAGGCTGAGATTTGGAACAGAGATTGTATCAATGAATGCCCTCTCATGTCAGCAGAGCCATATTCATGCACCTGGACTTTCCTGTAAAATCCAGTACTACTAATAAAAGAGTTTCTGAAAGAAAAACATTACATGGTCACAGAAACAAACAAAAAATTTTGAAACCACAATAAAGCAGAAAACCATTTGCAGACAGCTGCTTGCATTAAAATATGTTGTCATTTAGCCAGTAGGACTGTGCAAAAATCCAGAATAAGGTCCAAACTGTGACTCATCTGAAGCCAGGCTGCTTCATAAGGTCAGATGCCTTCAGCAATGCAGCATCAGAAGTGGGACCTCCTGTATGCACCAAATGCCACTGCTATCCCTGTACTAGAGGGACATGAGCACACCTTTCAGTGCTGGAGATGAATTTAACAACAGTATTTGGTAACAGTTGGTAAACTTATAACTGAATTTTACCACTGAGTTTGTACAAATCTTTTGGTTGGTTGGTTGGTTGGTTTGGGGGGTTTTTGTTTGTTTGTTTTTTGTTTTGTTTTTTTTTAGTTCGTTTTATTTCCATCAGGTAGAAGGTCAGAATCAAGCCTTTAAGCAATAAATGATTTTCAAAGTGCACTGTAGTTTGTCACCAAAAATTCATGACTACACCGTATGCACATCACCAGTAAGCACAACAGCAAAAGGATGAAAGCAGTTTCAAATAAGGTAAGATAGGATGTGAACGGACAGATTTACTGCTGATTCAAACTTCTGCATAAATCTACAGCTGTTTTAGGAGACGAGAGTGCTTTATTGACATATGATACCTAATTCTGAATTATTTATTCAGAAGTTCAACTATTTAGTCAGTAGTTCTACTCTGAGAAAACACAGCCATATTAAACTGGTACAAAGTGAACTCAGTCAAGTCTTGAATTGCACAATACTCTGTCGTACCCCAGTGAAATAGATTTTCAGTCTGCTGGCATACTTTTCAGGTTCAGAATTTTAATTTATAGCTCATCACAGTGTTCTTCACTACTCATGACTGCCCAGCACAGTTTAGACAGTATTGCTAAGAAGTCACTTTCTGTAAAACTGATTGTAAGCTTAGTTTCTGTATCTTCCAAAATTAGTAGTGCTCCTGAATACAGCAAAGTAAAAATTAACAGACCTTCTTGGTTTTTTATTTCTTCTAAGTTCCTTTTCACTGTTAGTTTCATATCTTCATCCTCTTCGCTGTCTGAACCTTAAATGCACAAACAAAACATAAATTAGACATTGTTTCTAATAAAGACATTAACAGCCTCTCTTGATTTCTCTTACTGTAACAACACTGAAGGTTAGATTTGAAGAGTACACCTGTTATGAACTAAAATACCAAGACAAAAATATACATTCTAGTATAGTTTAAGACAGTAACTCAAGAGAGTTATTTTTTCAGCTTCCTTCTTTCCCTTCTCCCCAAAATCTACAGGCAGACTGCTTTAATTTTATATTATTTTAAAGCAGTAACAAGAAATAATAGGTGCAGAAGTTACTGTGTCTTCTGCACTTTGTTTTTTGGTTTTTTTTTTAGTATTCAGTTATTAAAAAATATCATTACTTGCTTTCTATAAAATGTATCAAGGATTTAATTATGGGAAGAAGTACTATAGCATGTCTCTGCCTACACATGACCACAGCTGTACTTTGTTGCCCAAATACTGCATTTGAACAACGGTATGCTAAAACTCAACTGAGCAGTGCAATTCAGCAGATGTTGTTGTTTCAAGTCTCATAGAAGCAGAAAGTCGATACACTTAATTTAATCTGCTAATTCATCACAATCCAGCTCAGCCAAAACTCCACCACATTTCCCTTTCTTAATAACACTCTTCACAAGGCTGGTTCCCAGCTCCAGAGTGACAGCTCTATTTTGAAGTGTCTAGGAGGGATTTGTGTACCTAAGGTGGTAGTGTTTGGTTTTTTGTTTTGTTTTGGTTGGTTGTTTTTTCCCATTGAACAGAGCCTCGGTAAAATACAGGTTAAAAAGTAAGCCAATGAGTCACATTATGTATTCATTCTCCTGCTACAGGCTATTGCTATTTTGGGAGATGGTCTCTCTGATGACGTCTTACAGTATTAGCAGTCAATCAGGTCTCCTACAGTCATACCAACAGAAGGACTTCTCTTAAAGTCATCACATTTATTAGTACATCAATGTACTTCTGATTACATTAACCAGCAACGAACATTCCGATATGGCCATCCAATTTACTGACTGTGTGACTTCTGGCATTTTAAATTACTCAACTTAGGTATTCAAAGGTACACTTTCCACAACTTGTTTTGAAACCCCTGACATATAACCTGTTTGAGCAGCAACCTTACTGACTTTCCCAATTCCAGGAATACAAACTCCAACAGCTGGCGTCAAACAGTGATCAGCAGCCCCGAAAGATGCCAGAAATAGATAGATGGTCCTTCTCCAGTCACTTGCCAGACTAACTGTGAACCCCTTCTGGAGCTCCCTACTATTTCTGGGCAGAAGAAATACTATTTTTTACATCATTTTCCAAAGCAAACAAAGCAAAAGAAAGAAAAATCCACACAACTCCCCAAAAAGAGCAGTCAGTACAATTATTATTGAACGGGAGGAAAAAGTACCACGTAAAAGGCTTTTCACAAGTGGCTTCTCCCTTATTAGCCATCCTTTTAATCTTCTAGTCTGGAAGACATCTCAGACTGCTCCAGCCAATTCTTTATCCACCAACAAGTCCAAACATCAAATCCACATCTCTCCAATTTAGAGATAGGGATGTCATGTTGAGACTGTGTCAAGGCCTTACAGAAGTCTAGGCAGATTACATCAGTCACCCTTCCCTTGTCAACCATTGCAGTTGCTCCATCATAAAAGGCCACCAGACTGGTCAAGCAATGCCACAGAATGGCAGAGGTTGGAAGAGACCTCTGGAGGTCATTTTGTCCAGCCTCCCTGCTCAAGCAGGATCATCTAGCTGGCTGCCCAGGACTATGTCCAGACAGTTTTTGAGTATTACAAGGAAGACAATGTAGTGGGGAGCTCCAAATCTGTTAGTTATGACCTTCCTGAATGAAAGGATCACCTCCCTCAACCTGCTGGCAACAATCTTCCTAATGCAGCCCAAGGTACTGAGCCACCAGAGCACAATGCTGGCTCATGTCCACCAGGACTCCCAGGTTCTTTCCTGCAAAGCTGTTTCCCAGCTGGTTGACTCCTGGCCAACATATACCGATGCTTGGGGCTATTCCTCCCCAGGTGCAGAACTTTGCACTTCCCTTTGTTGAACTTCATGAGGTTCTTGTCAGCCCACTTCTCCCTGTCAAGGTTCCTCTGGATAGCAGCACAATCCCCTGGAGTAGGAACTGCCACTCCCAATTTTTGTGTTATCAACAGACCTACTGTGGGGACACTGCCCCACCATCTAGGTCATTAATGGACATTAAACAGGACCAGACCCAGTACTGACCCCCGGGGTACACAGGTGGTTCCTGGCCCCCATCTGAACTCACCATGTTCCAAGTCTGGCCATTCAGCCAGTTTTCAATCCATCTCAGTTTTCTCATCCATCCCACACTTCATAAGCGTATACTCCTGGCACTGCTGGCATCTTCTGATGGGGAATGTTTAATTTTGAGGAATCAGACACATCCTGTCTCTCTTGTCAAAATGCTCAGCACATGCTACAGGCTCCCAACTCCTCTGGGGTCAGAGGAAAATCCATTGCCCAGTTTCAGAGCCAAGAGATCTTAAGACAGACCCTCTTCGCTAGTACATTTTATTAGATAAACATAAGCTAACAACCTCTGACTATACCTGTTGTCTCAAAAGAAATTCTACTGCTCACTACTGTCCTCATATACCGACATATTCCTGCTGCAAGAACGAGAAAACAGGAAGGCAAACTCTGGAGGAATATAAAGCTCAGAGATTAAAAAGATTAAGCCTATAGATGGAAGCAAAAACAGTGATTTTTTGATATGAGTCTCATAGAAACCTATTCTGGGAAGAGACTAGTAACATTCACAGAATGCAAGCGCCACCCACTGTCCTGCCATCAAAGCGCCACAGGTTGAATTTGGATTAGTTGCCCACACAGCTCAGGATAATTTACCACTATATCTAATTCTCTTCTCTTGCAACCTCCTCAGCTACCACCATCCCTTTAATAACTTCCATCAGGTTTACCAATTCCTGTGTCTCACTAGGGATTTGATTTCCCTTCCCCAGCCTTCATCCTGTTCCCTTGCCACACAACACACCTCCTCTGTCTATTCCATTGTGCAGTTTCACACCCTCACCTTCACTTTTCTCTCCTGCAATGCTCCTTCTCTTAGTCTTTTCAGTAATTTCCAATCTCACCTATCTCTTTTCCATCCCAATGTACTGTGACATTCATACCACACTTAACTTACTGTCTCTCCAACCACTGACCCTTTTCTCTTTACAGGAGGTGTCTGGAGTTTTAGTGCTACTTTAAGGATATAATATGTTACCTCATTCAGGATCCTAGTAATTACTTAGCCAAAAACTTACGATCAATACCTCATCCTTACCTTTGTTCGCAATGATGTTTGGTATGATCAACTATGTTGCCTTTAAAATACTGTTCCCTTGGCTTCTAGAATCCTTTCCTTTATTCCTTCTTTAGTATGTTCCTAGAGGATCCTTCCCACAAACTCCTTCCCAGTACTTACTTCTCTAATCTGCTTCTTCATGAAGGTAACATCATCAGAAAATGCCAATTCGGCTACTCCCTGCTGAGGGTTCACAATCACACAAGACCTCTCCTCCTCCACACAACCCAAAGCTTCACTCTAAGTATCTCCCTACAGATGCTCATTCATCTGTTCATTCAAGTGTAACACAACTCAAAATAAAGCTCTCAATCCTTCACTCTCCTCCAAATCCACTTCTTGGAAACTGTGGGCAATATCATCATGGTCACTAAGAGTTTCATTTAACCTTCATCTTAGACAATTCACAACAAGATTCACAACATCTCAAATTCACAACAAGATTTAACTAAACCTTGAGGATTTCTTTGTATTATCTGATTGGTGAAGTCTTCCCACTTCATCCACTTGGTTACAGTTATTGTTCAGACTCATTATGCCCCAGGGAGAAAGCAATATATTGAGACCTAAGATATACATACATTCAAAGACGCACACAAGAAATGCCACTGACATACCAAAGGCAATAGTAACTTCCTGTTGTAGCTAAACACAAGGTTATAATTGAAGGGTGACTTTCTTATCATTCCCTACTGCAATAGGCTGTGGCTGCTATAATAAAGGAATAGACTCTTACTACAGTAACTACAATTCGTTCATGGCGCATCACTCTGCAGATGTTCATACCTTTCACATTCAGTTTCTTTGGGAAGTGGGGGCTAGAAGCTGTGACCTATCTTTAGTCATCTGCAGTTTGTTTCAACTGAACATTTGGAAAAAGCACAGACTGAGGACAGATGTATTCATATTGGACCTCAGTACCCATGAAAATCTTGACCATGGAAAAGGCAAGCAACTATTCTCAATGTCTTCTATAAAGTAATTCTTACATCTTCTTAAATTCTTTTGTAGGCTGTATATAAACCAAAAGATTTTTGGGGTAGTGGGAGTTAGGAAGCTTAGCAACATTTATCAAAATGAACTGAAATCCTGCTCTTCCAAATATAACGAGTCACAGAAGCTGCACTTGGTAGTACTTAAACACTTCAGGCAATAGTAGCAGATCGAAGATGCAGGCTGACAACTCCACTTGAGCACAGTGGAAACATACCTTATGGGTCACTGAAAGAGGTGCAGTGGCTATTTGGCAGACAACATACTACATCACTACACTACTGCTTTTGACAGGCTTATGAGACAGACTGGCTTTTCAAAAGAAAGGATAAGAAACACTCCAGAAAATATCCTCCTATTACTAAAAAGAGTCTGATTCACATAAGAGCTCAGTCACTAAAGGATCTCATTTGAATATGACTGTGAGAAACACAGTTAAGCTAAAGCTATCCACTTACACAAAAATATCTTGTCAACCAAGAAGTTGTGGGATTCCTGCCAGTGCCTGGACAGGTGTGACAATCCCTAACCTACCATCAGCTTTGCCCTCAACACTGACCAGTGCTCATTAAAAGTATAAGCTGTAATTTCAAGACACATAATATCGTCAAGACAGACAATTGAATAATGGTGTTTTTCTGTGTGCTACAAATTTTTCGTTACAAAGGGAGACATTGAAAACTCTTCCCCTTCTGCACTCCCCAAACCACTTGATTAACACGCATTAAGCTCCCATCATGTCTTGTGTCTTCAGCATAAAAGCAAAAACCTTCTGCACTTATGAACTAGAGCGGCTTAGCAGCAGAAGAGAACAAATAAGATATCTCCTGCCTACTCTTTTCATGTCTCAAAGGAAATTCATGCATCTGCTACAACCAAGGGTCACCTAAAGTAAAGTATGGTTGATAAACTATTGCAACATATGCAGGAGTTTTTATTTTTATTTATTTTAAAATGAATACACGTACCACAGTTCCCCCAGCAGTTCTGCTGACGTGGTAAAATGGTTCACAAGATGCACCTGTCAGATTGCCACATTCAAACATAACCCAGCTGCTCAGAAGCTAACGATAGCTCTGTGAAGGTGATTCAGGGAAACAGGTTTTTCATTTTGCAGCTCATCCAATACCAACAATGGTCTTATATTTTTCAACGTGATTCTCTGTCCTAAGTGTTTCTAACTTCTTTCTCCCTCCAAAATAATAGCCATAGGCTTGAGAAAGTCACAAAGCAAGCAATTCTTTTTTACATTTCTTTACAGTCAGCTGCATTTCTGTAACAAGTTATACCAGCCTATGATACACTGCACAACTTTCCATCTCAACCCTCCAGCACTGGTGTTGCCACACTAAGACCTGGAAATGATGGCTGATGCTGCTGAGCCACACACTGTGTGTACTATGCAGTGGCTTTATCTTTTTAAAGACCAACTTTATAAACTCTTGGTAACAACATCATCCCACCATGCAGCAAATATAGGGCTGTTACCAAAAGCGAATTTTCTAATGTTTTGTTTTAATATAGGAAGAGGAGACAAAGGCAGCTCTTGCTGTCTGGGTCCCCCCCTGCTGACATTGACTTATACTTGAAAAAGGGGACCAAGGATAGCTCAAGACATTTCTGTTCCTTACAAGTTTGCTAGGGAATCCCAACAGCTAAAGGAATCATGTACCATTCCATCACTTTTCTGCTCAAAGATTATTTTTTTTAATAGTGACCACACAAATAACTTAAGTGGAATGCACAATGATCAGCTAGCCAGCAAGTTAAGGTTTGCTGCCCCCTGAGTAGTGCCAATCACCATAACAGTAAATTAAATATTAACTTAGTAAAGGACATTGAAAGAACAGTTATATTAGGAGACTTCCAAAAGCAAGATCGATTAAAAAAAAAATACTTGAGTATCATTTATACACAGAAAAGGGTTAGATCTAAGTCATCACCTCTGAGTCAGTATACACTGGTGAATAAAGCTATAACAGCAAAACTACCTAGGCAGGGAGCCAGAGTACCCTTATATAGCAAAACAGTCATTCCCCTATCCTTACTGTCTCATATCTTAAGTTGCACAACACACTGTACAAGAAATGAAGCCTGTACAGGCTAAATCAACTGCTTACAGCTCTCTTCCAACTCCTCCTCCCCAAAAATATACAAAGATCACAAAGTAAAAACAGCCGTTCACATTAATTTACAGTTATACAGCTATAATTACATTAGAAGAGATCAATCTAGACATTTCAATATACTCTACAAAAAACCATTTGTACTGGGAATGCAATAATGCATAGAAACATAGAATTGGAAAGGATGTTAAAGATCATCTAATTCTAAGTCCTCTGCAGGGACACCTTCCACTAGGCCAAGTTGCTCAAAGCCCCATTCAACCTGGCCTTGAACGCTTACAGGGATGGGGAATCCACAGTTTCTCTGGAAAACCACCACTCAGTGCTTCACCACCCTCAGAGTAAAGATTTTCTTCCTAACACCTATTCTAAACATACACTCTTTCAGTTTAAAGCCATTCCCCCTTGTCTTATCACTCTATGACCTTGTAAAAAGTCCCTCCCCATCCTTCCTACAGGCTGCACTTAGGTCACCTGAAGCATTCCCTTCTCCAGGCTGAAGAAATCCAACTCTCAGCCTTTCCTCCTAGAAGAGGTGCTCCAGCTCTCCAATCATGTTTGTGGCCTTCTCTGGACTCGCTCCAACAGGTCCATGTCCTTCCTGTGCTGGAGACCCCAGTACTGGATGCAGTGCTCCAGGTGGGATCTCAGGAGTGTGGAGTAGAGGAGCAGAATCCCCTCCATTGACCTGATGGACATGCTTCTTGTGATGCAGCCCAGGATACAGCTGGCTTTCTGGGTTGTGACCACACATTGCCAGCTCATGTCTAGCCTCTCATTAACTAGCACTGCCCCCCAAGTCCTTCTCAGCAGGGCTGATGTCAATCAGTTCATCCCCCAGCCTGTATTGATACCAGGTGTAGCTCTATGGATAACCCTTCCCCCTTGAGAAAATGAACTGCACTAACAAAAGTGACAATTCTGTAATTAATTACTCCAAGGAATTTTACTGGTATGGCTGATTCTGGCTGAGAATCATATCTCCATTATCCAGCTGAAAAATCTCGATCAGCAAATGTTTGGGGTGGCCAGAAAACTCTATAAACACCTTTTCTGTATCAAAAGCACATAAATCAATTCCAGCTCACCACAAACAATTTTTTTCAGGAAACTATTATCCTATCTTTCTTTTTCCCTTTATTCAATCAACGCCAATTTCACCATTCACTCCACTTTAATGTGATAGCTCTCACAAACCTGTATCAGGACTAGCAGTGTATTTTTTCAGAAAAAGGTTATGGCTAATTCAGAAACAGCTTTCTGTAATATGCCCACAATTTACAACCCCACAAAAATAAAACAAGAGCCAGGAAAAGTAATAACATGTCTACAGAGAAATGTCAGGTCTTCTAGGAAAATATCAAAATATTTTAAAATACTGACAAATATTAAAACTCAGCTCTGGTATCCTTTGCATGAAAATGAGCTGGCTCAGTCATCTTTGATTATCCCATATAAAACCAATGTGATTGTTTCAGTGTGTCATTAGAATCTGGCATTTTAGAGAACTTCAAAACATCTAGTGAATTTTTTTTTTCCAAATGAATGTGTGAGTCATGTGCCAGTGAAGACAATGGTCAAATAACAGGAAGTAGCCAGGAGGACAAACAGAGTTAAAATAGGCAGAAATATTTTGAGAAATAACGATGCTCTAGCAGGGTCACATTTGTTTTGGACCCAGAACAAATCAAGCTAAGCAGATTTGAGTACAAACTGACAAATGCGCACACAAGAGTACTCTAAAGAGCTTCTCTTTAACTAGAAAGGAGTGTTCTGACTCAAACAACAGTCTGTCTCCCGCTATAATAAAGAATACAGGGATGATAAAGTTTGTTATGTTGAATAAAAATGCTTAATTAAGTCTAGTTTCAAAACTTGCTCCAAGCAAAATGGTCTTCTGATCTGTATTTCATTGAAATTCCAGTACAATGCAAGAAGCATCAAGCAACAGCTTGTGTTACCAGCATAAGGATTCAAGTCTTTTATTGGAAAGAACTATCAGTTTACTGGAAGAATTGTGTTTAATATTTACTTTCTACCTTTTGTGGTATCTGAAATGCTGTTTAGCAAGGCACACATCATGTCTCCTTCAATGTGGTGAGGATTTAGGATGCAAGCTGACCGCTGGGTCATCTTAAATTGGTTTTCCAGTTCCAGGAAGCTTTTGTCTCCAGAAAGTACAGTGAAAGGAATTTGCTTGGGCAGGTGCTCATCCAGACGACCAGCCTGTAGGGAAACAAATGACAAATGTTGAACTGAGATCATGTTTTTCTCTCATGGCATTTGGTTAGCTTTGTGCAAGATAGGTCTTCATTGCTTTCTACAGCAATTTACTCCTGCTTTTATGATCCAAGCCACGTTATACCACTGTGAAAGGTACCGTTTCAACAGTTTGATCCTGCATTTCTTCTCTACATACAATAATAGATACAGGTAATGGCTCCCAGAACAGTACAGAGGATGGAACAAATTCCTAAAAAGCAGCATTTTAGAACAATCTCCACATAAAATTAGTCATCTGTGCAGAGCATTTTAAGAATAACACAGAAAGTGTAATGTAACAAAACCACTGTTGCAAAATGTGCTTATATAATTAGATATTAATAGTTTTATCTAACTGATAAAGCATTATATGGCATCAAGCTGCACCAGGGGAGGTTTAGGTTAGATATTACAAAATTTTTTTCACTGAAAGGGTTGTCGAGCATTTTAACAGGCTGCCCAGGGAAGTGGTGGAGTCACCATCCCTGGAAGTGATCAAAAATTTTGTGGGTATGGCACTTATGGTTTAATGGTGAACACGGTGGTAGTGCCGGGTTCATGGTTGGACTTGATATTAAAGGTCTTTTCCAACTTTAACGATTCTATGATTCCACATAAAGAACCTAAGTGCCCATGGTATCACAGGTTCCTGTCTTTCACCTGCACGTCCCCAACCCTGCCAAAGTCCAAGGTCTACTGAACAGAGGCACTGCTTGTCAGCTCAACAGGGTCTGTGAAACTGGCACCCATTCAACTCCACTGTAAAGACGGCCCAACATTTGGGCTACTTGAAGAGAGAGGCAGGAGTTAAAGAGAAACAGTAAGAATTGTAGGGTTTTTTTTATTCTGCATTCCCTAAGCAGCTCTCCTTCTTCTCCACAACAGACTAACGTCCTATTTGGACTAACTTATAAATCACTTCTCAACTGTCTGCCTCCACTCAATCCAGTGACAGGTTTATCATTCTTTATAATGGACACATAAGTATCATGAAAAGAACCTAAGAATCTCACCTGCAATTAGTATTTAACACCAATAGCTGATATTATCTGCCACTCTCCTCTGGGTACAGAGACACAGCAATAAAGACAGTATGCTCTAACTTACATGAACACAGAGAGCAAAGTCTGCTGCTTCTCTTCTGGTACCGCAACGTGGATGAAGAAAGAAACATCCAATCCTCTTAAGATAATTGTAAATTTTGCACTGCACTGGAGGTTTCCAGTTGCTGTATCCTCCTAAACAGTGAAGAGGAATAAAATTAATAATAAAAAACCCAAACATGAAAAAAAAACAAACCATGGGTTTGGGTAAACACATCTCTATAAATTAAGAGTGCAAGAAGGCAAAAGCAAAGATAAATCTGTCTTTAAAGCCAGACTGTATTTTGACCAATGTGAAAGCTAAAAACCCCATATAATCAAAATCCCCAACCCTCTTGTTCTTTAGTTAGAAAGCCAAAAAAAAAAAATAGCTAGCCTGATACTACCTATTCACTTTTGTACGATTTTTTTGTTTTAATTCTGAAAAACTTATCTTCTAGATATCATGTGCTTTTAGACTCAGGGATGTGGGGTTTTTTCCAGTTTGAAGCACAGTTATGGTTAATGTGCAGAAGCAGAGGAACTCCGGGAACATAGTACAAGTAACAGAACTGCTTCTCTTAGGGAAACCTGTACTGCAGGAGTTCTAGATATATGCTATATATATATATATGTATATACGCTATGCCTGACACATCAGAACTCCTTAAAAAGAAGGTCCAAGAACTGGAACAACAGCTGAAACAAACGCTAGAGTCCTAATAAACCGTTGGCTGCAGTCAAGGATAAGCAAAATGAAGCTACAACTGGGAAAAAAGTGCAGAAATTTTCTCAGCAGTATCCTAAAACATGTAGTTACTGGCTAAGAAAATATTTGGATAATAAAGACAAGCTGAGTAATGTGTCTGCTACAGACAAAAACAATACCAGGATGAAACAAGTTGCAAGGAAAGGAAAGAAGCAGGAAGTCTTTCAAGAAGAGAGGGAAAACTACAGGAGCTTGCAGTTACTATGATACCATAAAAAGGCAAACAAATGAAAGGACAATTTGAAGAGAGCAACTAAAAAATTCATAATATTTCCAATTGCTAAGAAATAACGGTTCTGCAAAGGGGAGGAAAAAGTGTTGCTTTATCTGCCAGCTGATAGAGTGGCTGCATGTAAGAAAGGATTTTGAATGAAAAATGAAAGCAGTCACTGATGGCACTTCATATGAGGACATGGGAAACTAAGGTTCAAGTACACAGGCTGCAGAGGATGGTGTATGTCAACATGGCCACTCCCAGTCCAACAAACAAAAGCATTCCTCAGTAGATTTCTCCTGGGTTTTTTTCACCCTTTCCAGCCTAATGGCAAGAAGGTGGTATAAAAATGATCTCAAAGATAAAGATTTATTAAGAGTCCACACAGAAATGATTTAGTGGTATCTACCTATGAGAAAAAAAATGCTATTTGCAACTTGTTCTAATCTGTTGTGACAGTCTCAGTCACTGCTATTTGGGAAAGACTTGTAATCACCAAATCTAGGGTTTGGCTGCATAAATGTACAACATAAGCATTTGACCAGGACAACTGAAAACAATGACAGAACTGTATTTAGTCTCTTTATTTCTTAGCTGACAAATGGATGAAGACAACTGAGTATCTGAAGACAGAAACCATGCAAAGTCTGGGCAATACAATGGAAGAACTCAAAGTAAAGCTAAGGGTGTACTAGCAATAGGAATAACAGAAATTATGTAGATTTATCATATAAAAATAATAATTAAAAAACTCAGAAATGTTGTTCGGGAAATGCAGGAAAAAAATAGAAGAGACAAGGATGTTGCTATATTTTCATAGGCTAAACAAACAAGACTAGCATGCCTCAAGTAACTGAGTAAACCATTATTATTATGAGAGGGTATCTACAACAATAAATCCAGATGTGCCTGGGAGACTTAATGCTCCCAGGCTCCAAAACAATATAATTGTCACTAATAAACTGCTAAATTCTTCTCTAATACGAATATGGTCCTTTTTAATCACAAGTAACTCTTTAGCATGTTTTTTCAGTTCAGGTGCATCAGGGGCCATTCCCAGGAGGCAGGGTGCATGCAGCGAACCTGTCCAAAAGTAAGACATTGAGTGGTGCTAATGTGAGCTGTGCTGTGCCATCAGGCACCTGTGTTTGGAACATCTCCGGGCACAGAGTCTTAACTAGCACAAAGGTACCTTTTGGTAAGAGTATCAATAATACTAGAAGTTCCTGACAAGATTGTACTATGATTACTTTTCCTTAAGTCAGAGAAGAGAAATTTCTGACAACAATACAGCTCAGACATCCCTGGGTTCAAACAATTTTTTCTTACTGAATCAAAACAGCATTTTAACCTTGGAAAATGGTAATAGCACAGAAGTCATAACAACAAGCTTAAGTCGATTAAAAACAAACTAGTTTCAAGTAAATCAGACAGAATAACAAAGTATGACTGAAAGCCAGTCTCTGAATTCACATGGGGAAAGATTTACATAACTGTGAAAAATTTTTCTTAACTAAGTAATTTTTTATAATAGATGATCTTTAAAGTTCATTCCAACCCCTTAGCATTCTATGATTCTATGATATAAATCATCAAAATCACAATTTTATGTGGTTTGCATGTGCACAGGAATGCTGTTACAGAAAGGTCAAGGGCTAAACAATGGTAATACAGGTAGTGATACAGAAGTAATGCCTGAGCAGAACACAAAACTCAGGAGCATAACCTGCTTTAACAGGGAAGACCAGAGGATTCGTTCCCAGAACTCCTAACAACCAGATATTAAGGCTACAGGTCCAGGAGCACAGATGACTGTTCGAACAACTAACACTTTACATTAACAGCCGTACTTGCTCTGTCTTCATCAGCTAACTGGAAAACCTGTTTCTAAGAGGGAAAAAAGACTGGTCCAGGCATCAACAAGCCTTTCTGTCCAACCTGAGCAGCATGACAACTCTCAGCTTTCAGGATGTTCTTGATTATCTTTTAAAGGAAGAGACAGATACTCAAAAACACTAAGCAAAGAAGTGCAATGCAACGGTGTTTACCAAGTATAAAACATACCCGACAATTCCTACAAGTCTGTTAGGATGATACCTGTGTTTCAGGCAATAAATATTTTGAAAATATCCCTTGTCTAGACTTTACTGAAGAATTCAAGGTACTACAGGCGAAATAACTATAAAGGCAGACACAGAGAAAACCAGTAGAAAAACCATGAGGTGATCAAGAAGTTGGTTCAAAACCAGTCAGGTAAGCAAAATTATCAAGGTAAAGGAATGCTATTGGCAGACTCTGCAAAATGATATGATCATATTCCCTTTCAACCCAAACTGTTCTATGATTCTGTGAAACTCATGACAATGTGAGTTCCATCAATCACCCTGTACTAAACTAAATTTAATAAGACTAAGAATGCAAAATCATGCCTTCTAGAAGTAAAAAACAAAAAAGGGCATCAGCATGATAAGAAGGACTTGGGAGTTAAAGTAATCTCTGAGGATTATGACTGTCTTGATAATTATGAAAACCTAATATGATACAGTTTAAGGAAGTTATCAGGGAAGTCAGAATTCTGGAACAATATTCTACACAGAATAGTAAGAGCAGTGGAAGTTAAGGCTGAGTTTAAGAAGTTCAAGAACATTTCTGTTACATGGTGCCTGTGCCACTGCAACTTAAGAAGCCTTAGTGGCTGCTTGCTCCTGTTCATTTTCTCAGATTCAAGGAATCTCTGCTCAAGTAAATGCATAGTCTTGTTAATCTTATCTTCCAATTTCCTTCAAACATTTTTTACCTTGAAAGCCCCAGATAAATGTCCCTTGGTTCAGGTTAGCTGGCAGCTGTGTGAAAAAGCTTCCCCAGTTGTCCAGATCCACCAACACAATGTGAGTCATGGTACTCAGGTAGTCAAGATCAGGAAGATCACCATCTATCAATGGGATAAAAAAACACATTTAAAATTCACCTTACTTTCTGGTCAATCAACACACATCAACTTGAGACACACTTCTGAAAATTCACGTATTCAACTGTTACATAAGCAAAGTTACAAAACATGGTCCTATTTGGCAACTGCATAGATTTTAAAATCAACTGAATTAGCATTTAATCATGCACAAATCAGATATAAAAGCAGCATCTGGCTATATGATGCTGTAGAGCTGGATAGTTTTGTGGTAAGCACAGAAAGCTTGTTGTCCTGCACCAAGACATTTTAATAGTGCATTTAATATTCAGCTGTGCACCCCCAACTATGGCAAGTCTCTGTGACATTCCATTGCTTACATGCATGTAAAACATTTAGGTATGTACTTTTTGCTATACATCTAACATAAAGGTCAACCTCTTAATCAAAAGTATTATGACACCACTAGTAATTAAGAAACACTTTCAACTTCTGAACACAAGGTACACCTTCAGTGTACTTGATGTCATTCTTAAAAGTGATTATGAACTTTAAAAAAAAAAAAGCATGTTCAAGGAAAAAAACCCCCATACTACATACTGAGAATATAAATTCTCAGCAGATAGTGCTATTTGGCAAGCTAAGAAAACTGAGAAGATGATGATATAATAGGACTGCCCACACAGAAAGCACTACCAGGATCATAAATATTTATACAAATTTCTCTTGAACGTGTATTATAGATCATTTTTAGATTTCTACACATTGGATCTCAAACTGAGGTCCTTGGTTGTCCTCTTCCTTTTAACACCAAATTATGCTCCAAACTAATTAGAAAACTAAATGTTTCAGTCTCGGGACTGACACTAAAACAGAGTGTGTTAAAGACAATAATATTTTTCTAATGTTGAAAGTAGTTTTCTACATACTTTCACTAAGTTCTTCAGCGTGTGCTGAGTCCTCATTATTTTCTTTCCTTTGCTCTATTGGTCTCTGCAGAGGAGACAACTGTGGTCTGTCCTGAGTTTTCGATGGAGATGCTTGAAATTGTAGCCTGTGAGGTTTTCTGACCTGACAAGCCCCACTTGCCGTGAACTTGAATACTGTGTTTTCTGATTCTGATGCAAGACTTGATATATCAGGTTTCTGCAAGAAGCAGTGTTTCATGTGATAGTGTTGATGTGCACTGGGAAGATCATTAAAGTTTTTGTTGCATGCAGCACATCTAACGACATACATCTCTCCCTTAGGTTTCAGTGACGTGTGACTCTTGAGATGATTCTTCAAATCAGCAATATTCTGTGCCGTTGCAGAACACAAGCAGCATCGAAACCATAAGTTTCCTTTTTCCAGCATGGCCTTCTGACAATTCTCATAATCGTTTTTCCTGTTTATTTTGGAGACATAAGTTGTCCGGCAACCACAGGTTAAAAGGTCTCCTTGTTCAACTGGGAGGAAGTCCTCCTCTTTTTTTATTGATACTTCCATCTGCTCAGGCACAAATGTATAGTCCGTGCCATGAATCTCCGTATAATGGATTAGAAATTCTTCTTCTGTGTCAAAGAAGAGATGACCACAAAGGCCACAGAAATATTTAGTCTGTGTCTCCTGATTATGATGCTCTTGGAAGTGCCGCTCCAGCGTTCCTACTTTCCGAAAGTGATTTCTGCATAAGCCACAGGAGTACCTGTGAAATGCATGGCTTTCTAAGGACATGCAATGTTGTTTAACGCTCTCTTCAGACTCAAACATCTCCTCACAAATGCGGCACTGCCATTTTCCCGCGATAGGACTTCTTTCAGGGGAGACTTCCATAGGGCTAGAAATGCAGTCTTTATCTTCACCTGCAGAAATGCATGCTGTGTCAGAAGCACATGGCATAGGTTCATCTTCAACATCTTGCTCATAATAGTAACTATGTCCACCATGAAATTCAGTTATGTGTCCCATAATATCCTCTTCTCTAAGATCTGCAGAACACGCTCTGCACCAGAGAAGAAAATTAGTCAAGTGTGCTCCTCCATGAAACCGACTCATATGGAGGCGGATAATGCTTGAATTTTCAGCAAGCTTTCCACACACAGCACACTTGTGACAGATCCTATTTGCTGATAAAATGTGATTTTCTACTAACTCTTCTGTAAAAAACTTTTGAAGGCATTCACAAAACCAGGCTTTTACTTTGCAAGCACTACCTTGACTTTGGTTTGCTACATTATCTTCATTGTTACCTTTTAAATCACTCTTCCTTTTTGAAGGTGTAGACCCCATTTTACTGGCAGACTCATTTGAAGCCAAATGTCTTTTAAGCAGAGGTCTTGACCGATCCACAATATGGCACAAATAAGACTGATTTTTCTGTTTCCCATTGATATGACAGAACATCAGGATGGACTCTTCCATTGTAGTAAAAACTCTAATGTTATGTTGAGTGGTTTGTTTATGTTGGGTTATCTGATTCTTATTAGCAAACAGTTCATCACAGTTCTCACAGTAACCTTTTGTTTTAAATATCTCTGCAACTTGGGAGATGCTTTTCTTCGACAGTGCCACAGGCCCAGAATTATGACAACGCATTCTAGAGCGGATTAAAAAACATAAAGAAGTTATATCATAACTTGAAACATTTTTAAAATTTCAGATGTGCTTTGAAATATTACCTAGTACCTACAGCAACCAGTGCATGGAAATATTGTCCTCTGTATACTTTAACCTACCAGCTTGCTAACGAAACCATGCAATGTGTATCTGGTCTCTGCACTTTAAAGAGAATTAGGTGCTAATTTCCAAAGCCAGCATTAACACCGATGGTTAGGTTGTTGACTCTGTACATTTTCAAAATCAAACACTGTCAACTTACAAACAGCAGAACAGACACCAAGTTCTGTTGTTCTGTTACAGAAAACACAAAAAGGATCCTGACATCGATCAGCATTCTGCAGTGTGGGGTAAAAGACAAGAAGGAAGGCACATTTTTGATAGTTTAATCAGGAAGTCAACATTTAGATGGCCCTACTTGCCTGGAAATCCACTAGGAGCACTAAAAACACATCTGCCTATCTGCCACTGATCTATGAGTGTTCACATTATAAAGGCAGCTGTCTTTCACAAACCTGAAATGAGCCGTTAATTCCATATGCGATCGTAGTATCTTGCAGCAGGATATACACTTCACTTGGAAGGGGACCTCTTTGCACAGAGATATCAGAAGGTTCTTCGCGTAGGTTGGAAAAGGTAGAGGATGGCCAGTCTTCATTTCATCTATAAAATGGAATGGTAGAAAGTGCAAGTTCTTTCAAAGTATTTCAGTTCTCTGATGACATAGTTACTGTTGTTACTTGTTTGTCACACAGTTCAGAAAGTAAATTATCATGTGTCAGCTGGCCCACAGTAACTGTGCTATGGAAGACTAAAAAGACTGAATTTTTTAAATTTCTGTGACGATCTCATTTCTGAATCTGTTTGGATCTTGTTTTTTCATACTCAGTGACTGACTTTACTTCCCTTTTCCTCTTCTACAACATCACGTCAGATATGTCTCTTAGAAAGGTTTTTATTGACCTTCTTTCACTCCATCTATGACCAGCTGTCTACTCTTACCACATAATTTTCTTTTAAGCCACAGAGTGCTTAAAAAAAAAAAAAAGCACACAATTCACTTAACAAGCTCCTACATACTCTGACCATCTCTTTCTCTCTTTCCCATCCTTAGTGTTAATTGTGTTAATTCTTACATTCTTAGATGCAGGACTTCCTGTTGTTCAGAGTACATGCTCCACATCTAAATTCAGATACCATCAGAATAAAAAAATTCTATTGAAAAGAGAATGGGGAATGGCTTATGGATTAAATGTTGTTCATGTTCTGCACCTTAGGAGGCAAATTCTCTTTGATTTTTCTGTTTAGTAAGATGTGATGATCAGCAGGCAGTAATTTGAGGTTATGCCTTTCAGTGAACTCCACTGGCAGATCTTAGATCATGCTGGTAATTATTAATCATGAAGACCTACCAACACAAAGGAAAAATTGGAGCACTCCATTTTTTGTTCTGAGCTAAGAACTCTCCACCTCTAAAGAAAAAAACCACTAACTTGTGCTTTTAATTTTTTCAAAGCAATAGCTCACCAGGAATCTCTTTTAAAATCTATGACTTAAAAGCATCTGCAGTCATCACATTCAGAATTAATAACCTATTTGAGAAAAAAAGTACATTAGATCTTCAATACATAAGACAACACATAACCATGCAGATGACTGTCACCTCCATGAAGATTGCAATACTGACTCAACCTACACCACGATGCCTTCAAAGCATGTCTTTTCTGCACACTTCCTGCAGCCACTCTGGGGGAGGGCAGAAGTCAAAGATATAGTTATGAAGATGAGAAATAACTATATCAATCCTTTTGGCCACACAGGCTTATCCTGAAACCTACAGTATCTAAAATATGGTCACTTCCTGCATAAGAAGTCAACTCCATCTATATGTCAACTGCTTCAGCCATTTAGCTAACATTAAAGTAAATGCTTCAATGCCTACTGCTTATGTCAGAAATAAAAAGTCAGTGTAGCTATGACAAGCATTAACCCTGTTTTCAAGCCCAGGATCAGACAGGTATTTCCTGTGAACTCTTAAGAGTGGTTCTGGATGTTACCAGCTCACAACATAACCAGTATTTCAGCCTTCAGCAGCAATGCAGTCAGTGCAAGCCATGAGACCAGCAGCATTGTCCCAACTAACCAGGCTAAATTTGCAAATAGACAGATAAGAAATTTTCAGAGGTCTTTGTCACCAGCAATGCCAAGGACACTGACAATAGCCTCCAAGCAGACTACAGACAGTACAGTAAAGGGAAGGAACTCCACAGTCAGTCTCACTGGAACTGAAAAAGAAATTTATTTGTTTTGGTCCAAGTCTCTATCAACATGCTAAATGTAAACTTATTCAGGACAGCAGTTGCACAGAGTCACTGGAGGATGAGAAGTTTATATGAGAGCCCTGATGGCTTCTCATTACAGCAAGTGTGATGGAGGAATCATTTCTACACAAAAATACAAATTTCAAAGCACCACATTTAAGACCTTAAAAGAAAAATAACAATACATTAAAAACAAACTTTAAAACATTAACCTTTTTTAAACTGCAGAAAAATGTAAGTCAATTCATATCATAAGGGTGAATTATCAGAAGAAATTAAGAGCAGTACATTTAGTAGCAACGTACCATTCAATTGAGAAACCTGGAGGAAGTGTTTCTTTCCTGACATATGCTGCAAACACTCTTCGCTTTTTGTGAAAAGGAGGAAGCAGTTCGGGCATGCAAAACACTGAATATGCTGTGGAGGGAGACCTTTTTTATGCCCATCATTTTCATTTAGCTGGAAGAGAAAAATTATCTACTTAGGAAAAAATTAAGCAAAGAAACTAGTCCCAATTCTCCTCATGTCCTTCCATTCCACTCTCCCTTCTGTGGTAGAAGTTTCAACTTTTAGGTTTTCAGCTACCACAACTATGTTTATCTACAACCTACCTCTATGCACTTCAGCTCATGAGACACAAGGGATTGGCCAAACTTCCACTGTTAAACTCAGCAACTCATCTATCCTTAGTACTCCAGTAACTTCTCCATCCCCTTCTTGCACCACTTGCAAGCACTTTCCCCAGGGACTATGGGTTTCAATTCTTAGCTAGTCCCTTTACCCTGGCTCTCAGAAAAAGCTCCTTCTATTATCAAAGCAGCTGCTTTTCCTGATGTCAGTTCTTCTCTGATCTTGCTAGCTTCCAATTCTTCAAAATGTTGCTCCTCAGAGTAGCCTGACAGGTCCATGACTTTTCTAAAAGTCAAATCCTTCCACCTGCCTTGCCTTCTACATCAACTCTGGATCTCTGCTTCCAGGGCAAAAATCCTTTAGTTTTGCTTCTGATATTTTTTTCCTTGCTCCTTTATAAGTCACTCAGTGAATCTTCATTATATGCTTATGCTTTCTTCCACAGCTTTGATTAGTCTTATCTCCCCATCCTTCCACAACAAAGTAATTCATTCTTGCCTGCTGCAAGAGTCAGACCTTTCCCCAGACTTGGCTGCAAACTCTTGCTAATGCCCTTGGACATGTCACAGGCACACAACTTGGAAGCAACGGAAAAAGAGCAGGGACAAATTACAATGCAATCTTTCAAATTTGTCAGGTATGACTATGCATCAGGAGTTATTACCACAAGCTAAAATTATTCTGATTTTCAGAATGTCTAGAACTTCCCTGAACTTAACACAGCTTCTGGAGTCTAAGTGAGTACTCAGCAATACTTGTTATTAAAACATCCAACTTGGAAAATGCTATCCATCATGCAGTTCAATACCAGACTGTCTAAATAAAACCACATACCCAGAAGGTAACAGCTAAGCATCTGTTATGCAACTGAGGTTTAATAGTAGCATGTTATGAACAGAAAAGAGAGAGAGCAATCAACAACAAAAAAGTAACACTACTAGCTTATATTCAAATCACAGCTCAAATGCTAGATTATCCTTTCCCTTCTGTAAGTTAACTAGTGAGTAGCAGCAAATACCTCTATTGGAAGGACTGGAAACAGATAAATCACCCAAGTTTCTTTTCTCTATTGCCTCTTTCCCCCCTCCCCCATCTCCTTTCTGCTGCTTCTCTTTATTTACTTCATCCCAACTTGCTGCATTTATCTTTCATAGTTTTGAAGATGTGAAAAAAGGGAACACCTTTCAACAACACCAACAGAGGGACAAGAGGCTCAAGACTACGGTCCTCTTGAAAGTATACCAAAAAGTACAATCTAATGATCAGATCTAAAGAGAATACTGTCAGGCTACACCAGGTGTTTGAAACAAAACAGAATAAGAAAAACAACAAACTGTCTTAAGACTAAAAGAAGAGAGGTGAGAGAAAGAGGGTTAAAAAAGAAAACAAAAACCTAAAATCAGTGCATAATTATACATCTTGAAAACTCTCTACTACATTCAGTCAGGTGAGTTACTCATCCTTATGATCTTGCCTTAGATAAAAGATGATCACTATACTGCTGAGAGGTTGAAAATCTTTCACAGCATATCACACAGGCAACAGCATTATTTGGGGGTCCTCGTAACGTGACAGTTGGGTCACAAGGAGAATGATCAAACCTGGAGAAGAAGAAATAATTAACAAACTAATCCCATCTAAATAGTTAAAAGGGGTTTTTTTTTAAATGAGAAAAGATCTGTCTTTTGAAGCTGTTGGACAAAAACCCTTATCCAATCAACCTAAACTATAAAAATTCCTCTCTTCCACTATCATCAACTCTATCAGCTGAAATACCTTGCATAGAGGTGAATCTCCCTGCAGCTTACCTGTTACAAGGGTCACTCTGCAGAGGAACCACACTGTTTTCACAAGAACTAAAAAAAGGCACAATTTCCCAGAAAGAGAATTTTTTTTTCATTTTTACCTCCCTGCACTAGTTCTGGCTGGGATGGAGTTAATTTTCTTTGTAGCAGCTTGTACAATTGTTGCATTTTGGATTTACAAACAACAGTGTTGATAGCACAGAGATGTTTTAGTTATTGCTGAGCAGTGACTGCACAGTGTCAAGGTCTTCTCTGTTTTTCAGACTGCCCCATCAGCATAGAGGCTGGGGGTAGGCAAGAAGCTGGGAGGAGACACAGCTGGGACAGCTGACCACAACAGGCCAAAGGGACAGCCTATAGCATAAGACATTGTGCTCAGCAATAAAAGCTGGGTGAAGGAGGAGGAAGAGGAGATAGCTGGGAAGACAAACACATCACTCGAGCTAACTATTACATATGAAAAAGCTGTACCTGTTTGTCTCCTTATATTGCTTTGCTTGTGCATGCAGCTTTTGCTTTACTTATTAAACTGTTTTTATCTCAGCCCAGAGTTTTCACACTTTTAATCTTCTCGTTCTCTTCCTCATCCCAGAGAGATAAGTGAGTGAGCAGCTGTGTGAGGCTGAGTTGCCTGCTGGGGTTAATCCATGACACTTCCCTCAACTTCTCACCTTACCATCTTCCCCACAAACACACTCACTAGTTAAAAGGCAGTATCTGCTGGAATTGACCACAGACACACTCAGTGCTGACTAGCAATCATCAGCTATGAACAGATGTCTGACCTATAGCTCTTGTTCCTCTTTCCATTCATTATGGGCTCTTTTTTTTTTAATCTTACCATCAAATTGTGTAAGGTAGCCTTTTGCTCTTTTTCAAGTTTGAATGAAGATACTACAGAACTGAAGAATAGAAATCTTGTTTCTCAAAAACCCCATGTATTACAAAATGCTCAACAAGAAATAAATTCTGAACGGAAAAAACCAAACAACTTTCCTACCCAACTAAAAAATCCAAACCAAAACAACAAAAAAACCCCTATGAAGTTCATCACATCATCTATATAAATGGTGTAACATATTAATTGGCTCTCAAAATGGAACTTTGTCACTACAGGCAGTTTAAAGTAGACTTGATGCTGATGTCCTAAGTTAGAGCATATTCTTTCATTATGATATCTTGCACTGAGCTCTTGTACTATGTCCTTACCTTTGAAGGTGACCTAGAAGAAGATGTACATTATCAAACTCTCTGTTGCAATGCATCACAGGGCAGTGTTTGGGACTGCTGTTGACTTGTGTCTGAGCTGCCCTCTTACAAGCACCCCTTTTTCCACCATTAACAGAGCCTGGTTTCAGACCTGTGTTATAAAACAATGTACTTAACCAGAACCTAAATTATAGAGGCTTAAGAAAACAAACAAAATAACACATAAGCCCTAAAGCATTTAAAAATCAAGTTACAGTGATTCTTAAAAGCAAACTAACAGTGTACAATCCTACTCAGGAAGTCTGCTCTTTCATTTTCTTCAATTCCCAGCAGTGTAACTTTTTAAGCACTTTCACACCCTTCATCGAGGTACTATTTGAAATTCACTAAACATCCTGAAGTCACACTTACTCATGTAGACATCTTCCTAAGCAGCAGTTCAATAGTAGCATTTTTTCTTCCTAGCAGCTTCTTTCATAAAAATTGTTAACATCACCTTAGTGATTTCTAGATTTGGTATCTTACATTTCCTAAACAGCAAAGCATTAGAAGAATGGATTTTATGGAAATGAGTGTTTAAGAACTTTCAAATGCCATATGCTAGCAAAGTTAATATTGTAGGATTAGGTTATGCACATGGCACCTGCAATCTCAATGCAATTATCACATGTTCTGTTCTCCAATTCAGGATTTAGAAACCATCACTGAAACTTAGTTTCCTACTCTTACCTGGCATTTTTAACCACTGGTCCACACATAACCTTGCAGCTTCTGTATCACTATGTTCCCGAATAAATTCTAATTCTTGCAACCCATGAGCATATTGGGAATCAACCTTCTCCTGCAAGAGAAAACATACCAGGTAAGGTGGTGATCAAATTCTTTTTAAAAAAATTAAAGATTAAGTATGTATCCCAAAACTTACATATGAGTTCCCAAAAACACAAGGAAAAAAAACCCAAAAAACCAACAAACCCCACACCCACAAAAGCCTAAAATAAGGGAAAAATAAAATCTTACAACTTGATTCATTTCTATTTAACACAATAAAGATAGGACATAAAGGCAATAAAAAAATTTAAAAAACAGTAATTTTTTCCCCCAAAGTAAGAGCTACATCTTGGGTCAACTAATTTACTTTTACTGTAACTACTGAAGTTTCTGTAGCATGTACATAAGATTATAATCTTATAAAAAGAAACAAATAATCATGAAGTTTTAAACAAGGAACACAAAATCTTTATTGAAACCCAAGAGTCAGTTCGTTCCACTGACAAGGAAAAAAAACTGGCATCTTCACTTTGAAAACTAAATTTAATTCTGCAAGTTGCATTAACTGATGAGGAGTAAAGAGCCATCCAGGAGGAAAATACTGATCTTTAACAAAGGATTTTTTAGCTTTCATTCTCAAAGTACATTGAAAGCTACATAGTTATCTCTGACTCCACTTGACACATGGAAAACTGTATGTGGAAACATTAACAGATTGCCAAATTCTCAGTAGAGGAGACAGGAGAGGGATGTAGGTTTCTGGACTTCAAGGCTACCTTGGACTATATCCAACATCCCTTTACTCTGTTGTATTACAGTTGCATAGTCTAGTGTAGAATATAAAAAGCTGTAACTGTAGTACAATCATGTGATTTTAAAAGTGTTTTGAAAATTAGGCTGGAAAGACAGCATGTTCCACAAATACTGAATTTGACTCTGTTCCTGTTCAATTTCATGAAGTTCTTGTAATCCCATTCCTTCAAGCGGTCCAGGTTCCCACCGGGAGCAGCCCTTCCATTAAGCCCACTGACTGCATCTCCCAGTTTGTAACAGAAATAAAAAGTACAAATCTTTCAAATTGCTGCCCAATGCAATCAATAGGATTCAACTCTAAAATTATGCCTTAAACACAGAAAGTTGTATCACATTATAAAATATTACTCAATACAGAAATTTAATGTGGCATACAGTTTCCCAAAAATCTCAGACAACAGCAAGTAAATGAGTAGGCTTGCTGCGTGGCTGTTTGTGATCAAACTCTTATTTTTCAATTACTCAGCAAGAGTAACTGATGTTAAGGTTCCTCTGCTACATATACAAACAAGAGAAAAAGTTTTTGCCATTGATTATCACGAATTTTGTTTTTTCCCATCCTCAGGAACTGCAATAAGACTAGCAAATTTATCAGTTAAAAGTCACTGAAGAGACAAAGTCTGTATTGTGTTTCGAATGATGCCACAGAAGCCTAGTTGCTAGTTCCAGGTCTGGCTCACCAATCTTTTTATTTATTTAGTAGTGAAAACAAAGACACTTGTGACTACAAGGCCTTTATGATGCAATTCTACCAAAACAAAATACTCCCAATACCTTGAAGGCTTTGTTTTTCTCTTCTTTTTGCTGCTTCTCTACTTCAACATGTCGTGCCAGACGATCCAGGGTTGATGCAACTCGTTCTTTCTGATAGTCAACGTGATCCTTACGCTTAGAAGGTCTCTACAATCGAAAAGTTAAACACTTATTTGGTGACTAAGTAACAGGCACTAATACAGTGAAAAGTGATGCCCAAGCATCAGGATATAATTCAGTACAGATACTCTTATCTTAAGTACCATGATCTACCTTGCTAGTTTTCTCTTCCTATTTATCAACATCTGTAACTTCTATTAAAGAAGCAGCTAAAACAACTCTCCTCTCCCCACATTCAAGACAATTCAACATAAACATTAGCCTCACCAAAGCAGTAGACGAACATGGATGATTGTGCTGGGTGTCCTAGAAGTCTCCAAGAAATGAAAAATTAAGTAAATTATTTTAAGTGAGTAAACAAAATCTCTGCTGATTTGAAAGCCAACATGGAGACCACCTGAAAAACTGAGAACTGATACAATTATTGCTCTAACACTGCCTACTGTCTTCAGAAAGACAGATCATTAGCTTTTTCTAGCATAAGGGATAGGCCATACACTGTAATTTGCTCCTATTACACAACTAGCTCTAGCAATCAACACTGTAGAGTCAGCCTGTGAATATACAGAAGATCCACCTTTCCTTAAGAACCAGTATTATTACAAACATTCTCTACTCTAACACTGTAAAACAGAAGTCAAGAGATGGCTACTGCTGCCAAAACCAACTCTAGTAGGGTTAATCACTGCCTCTCTCCAAGGCCCTACAGAGCAGGCACAATAAACTCGGGGGATAAACAGAGCCTGCTTCTGACTCATACAGTCTTAGGAGGGATTATGAAGGATTAGGCAGAGATAAAACCAGCCTGTCATGGTCCTCCAACCTATACATTTTTCTTAAAAAGTTATTTTAGAAAGAAAAGGTCTGGGAGTAGACCAGATACATTTGCAGGCTAGAAACTGGACACACAGATTTCTGAGGGTGCTTGTAAAGGGATATTTTTCTTCAACCCACTTGCTAACATGACTGAAAGACAAATAAAAGTTCCAAGCCCATTTCAAGGAGGCAAAAAACAGCTCTGGAAAAAAATGGAAGTGCTGGTATTCTTGCCTTCCACTCAACAGTAGGAAAAAAAATCAAAATACTTAAATGTTATTTATTTAATTATTACTTGTTAAAAATACCTCTAATAAGGCTTTTGTGAAAAGTAACTGACAGGAAAAAATACAGAAGAGCAATTATTTTATTCAACTGAGATGTCCTAAAATATATTACAACATACTCACGTGAACATAAGAACTGCTGTTAGGTTCTTCATCTTCACTGCTGACAAGATCAATACATTCAAGTATAGGTCTTAAAGGTCCTTCCTGGAATAAAGTATTAAAACACACACACAAAAGCACTGAATTGTCATCCTTCGAGATAAAATGTTGCATACATTACAGCACATGGTCAGCATTAGCATTTCACCAAGGTTTCAAGAGAGTGCAGTAAAGGAAATTCTGGTATGGCAACTTTTCCACTAAACAGACTATTCCACAAAATTGGTAAAACATGCAAACAAGTATTCAAAAATAATCTAATACACAGATATCAAGTGGAAAAAAATCAAATTAATAATCTTGACTAGCCTAATAACATTATATTCTTCACCTTCTCAATCAACTCAGACCTACATTTTTAAAGATACTCTACCTGTGCCATTAATTCAATGGTAATAGGGTAGCAGCCTGTTAACAAGATAGGAACAGCCTTAGATTTCATTATGCAATGTTAAATGTTTTTTCCTTGTTTTTTTCTTTCAGGGTTTTTTTCGCTTTGTTTTTAAAAACACAAATTCAATTCCAAAAGTGTGATGGCCTAATCTTGGCTGGACACCAGGTGCCCACCAAGCCTCCTCAGCAGACCAAGGTTGGGGACAAAACAAGATGAAAAAAAATCCTCCTGGGTCAAGGTCAAGGCAGTTTAATAAAGTGAAAGCAAAGGCCACATGTGGAAGCAAAGGAAAACAAAAGATTTATTCTCTGCTTCCCATCATCACGCAACGACCAGCCACTTCCCAAGATGTAGGGCTTCAGCACACACAGTAGCTGCCCCATAGACAAATGATGTAATAGCGAATCACAGAATGGTTTGGGTTGTAAGGGACCTTAAAGATCACCTCGTTCCAACCCCTCTGTCATGGGCAGGGGTGCCCACTTTATCAGGTTGCTCATGCCACTGTCCTTTTCCTTAGCTTTTATTACTGATTAGACAGTATATGGTACAAATATCTCTTTGGTCAGTTCAGGTCAGCTGTCCTGGCTATGCCTCTCCCAAAATCTTGCCCATCCCATGCTTACTGATGAGGGGGGAAGGTTGGGGAGTGCCTTGATGCTGTGGGAGCTCTGCTCAGCAGTAACCAAAACACTGGTGTGTTATCAACACCTTTCTAGTCACCAATGCACAGCACAGCACTGTGAGGGCTGCTATGGGGAAAACGAACTTCATCTCAGTCAGACCCAATAAACAAGAAATTAAACTCCTTGGGCATTTCAAACATTAAGAAAGTGGGAAACAGTTCATACACATTTAAGCCCTGAAGATTACTACTCTCTGAGCAGATATTCCACAGAGAGGTCACAAGTGTCTTCTCTGTATTGGATTCACAATGAGGGGGAGGTCATTTTATTTTAAAAGGAAACACATTTTACCCATTCACACCACATACTCAGAAGCACAAAGACACACGTCCAAACAGTCTGTCCAGTACTCAGTTTCAAAGATATACATCCAGGAAGCCTTGTCAGGACTCCATGCATGAATATGGAGGCCCAACAACCCTGACTATCAACAAATACTCAGGTCTTCTCTATTCTTTCTAGCTTGACAGCCATATGCTTCTTTTGCATGCATATTTCCCATCTTTTGTCCCTCTTTTCCATTCCCTCTGTGAGTCACTAAAGGTTACTGACTGGTTTTGTTTTCTCCTTAGGATGTCTCCAATTCACTCTCTAATCATACCAATTTTACCATTTCTAGTACAAGTTTCCAGTAGAGAGTACAATGTCGGAACAAACATAAAAAAGCAAACATAAAAGAAAAACTGGAGTCAGCAACCCAAACGAAGCACATAGGCTGTAACTTTTTTAAAGAAGATGTACTAAATAACATGTGGAACTCCATCCATACTCATTGCTGTAAGTCTTCAGTTTTTAAAGGCAAAAAAAGAAGCACTATGTCCATATAACATGATGTCATGCAAAAAAACCCCAAACCTGTATCATGCTAGAGCATCATCACATGCCAACTAAATAATCAGTATAATGAACATGAAACAGAATGAGTAAGTCCACATACACCAAACAAAAATATTCCTAGTGACCCTAACTCATACCCATGGTCACATGTGTTTGTATCTTCAATGAGAGGCAAAGTGAACTAAAATCTTCACATGCCACAGACAGATTTTGCACATAGATGCAGATTCTGGAAGTTATTATCCAGTTTCAAAGTAAATAAACAAAAACCAAAGATAAGTTTATTTTTTTGTAATGCCAGGGGTGATGGTTTGGTTTTTTGTTGGTTTTTTTGTTTGTTTTAAATCTGTACATATAATGCCATCTAAATCATGACAGAGTTTTTGACTGAACTACAGAATTAGCCATTTGTCTGGCAATATATCTGGCAGATACCACAGAGCTGTTATATACTCCATATTTATGCTTTATTTCTTAGAAAGTTAAGTTTTCCAGGCAGAAGAAGGACTTACAGTACCCAGCAGACTGACTTCTTGAAGACGTATAGTACCATCTCTGCCATATATTTAGCAGTTTCTTCAAGATATTAACAGTGAACCACATAGGGTAGGCTAGGAAGACTTACTGCCTCATGAGGAGTAGTGGAGAGAAAAGCAGTGTGCAATCCTCTCTAGTGCTCTTACTGCGTCTCATTCTTTACATTGTTCCACCTTTCAAGGCAGTAAAGCTGTTCAGCTGGCCAGGCATAAACAGTCACCAGGGGGGAAGAGGAATGATATCTTGGACAGATAACAAAAGCTTATATGAATCAAGCTGCAGGCCTCAAATTACCCCAAAAGAGTGCTTAATTTTTTAGGATTAAATAAACATAATATGGTTTTCTAAATGAAATATATAAAAAATCCATTACAGATTTGTTTCTGTAGAAACTGACAGTCTCTGTACAACTTCTAAGAAATTAAATCTTTATTAAACAGCTGTTAGCAAGTAACAGTTCAAAGACACACTCAGACCACCTGACTATCCAATCAGCTCAATAATGTGTTTTGAAATGTTCAGCTCTGATCCTAACAGCTGTACCTTCTTCAAAGGCAGAGATTTCCCCTATTTGTGTTTATTTACTCCCTGGGTTCAGCAACTAAATAGAACGTACAAAACTGACAGCTGAAATGCAGAATAACTTGGTTTCAAGTCTGGGAAGCTCTAATGACAAGAACAGTAAATTTAATGCAAGTAATATTACACTTGTCTAAATGCTGTTTGCACACATGAAATGTTCTTTTTTCCTATCAAATTCTGTGCCTTTTTCTATCCAATTTTTGCATAATGCTCAGCTCCATTTGAGGATGAGCCTCAAATTCAAAGTTATGAGAATTTTAATTACTTTGGTTTTTTCCAACTGGTTCAACTAAATATTAATACCAACACTGAGGATTCCATCATTGTAGGAGAGCTAAGAACCTGTGGATCAGATAGCTTTGTCCAGCTCTTCGTAACTCCCCACAAGATGAGCACCACCAGCTAAATAGCATCTTGGCACAAAAGAGCCTCAGATTACAGAAAAATAACATGCTCTCAATGAACAGCTGAAAGCTGGGGCCTCTCTAGTTGACTATACTGGCATACCTGCACCCAGAAAGACATCAAGTACTAAGTACTCAGATGCACTAGCACTAAGATATGCTCAGTCTTCACATCTTGTAAGCACGTCCTTCACATTCAAACAAACAAACAAAAATATCAAAACCCAAACACAAAACAAGCAAAGAAAACCAAAACCCCAACCAACCAAAAACACCCCAACCATTCTCCACTCCTCAATTACTTCTCTAAATAATCTTCAAAAGCCACTCTTCTCACCAACCAACAGCGATGCCACAGAGCTACCAACAAAAAAAATCGCACCTTTTTCAGTTAGTAAAAGAATTTCTAGGTTTTTAAGTATCCAGGCAGCTGTGGCATATCTGCTGTTATTCACAGCTTTGCCTGAAAGCATCAGCATTAAATCAACAAAACTGTAATTTCACTATGCTACACAAAATACCAATTTTAACTGTTGATATAATCAAAACTGTTTAATTGGCAACTGGTAAAGATGGAGCTTCATATTCATCTCCAAAGACCGTCTTCTCAAGGACTTCCGTGAAGCTCATTTTTACTGCCTCCACAAGTTTTCTCCAAAAGCCCTAAACTGTGGTGTCTTTCTCCTCCTCCCTCATTTCACTCAGTCTTTGGGTAATCAGGCCTAGCTAACAGACACAGTGTCCATCATGCAAGGTGTTTTATTTTTTAGCTGTAAGTGCATTCAGACCAAATACCCAGTTTACTTAAACAGCACAATTAAACTTTTGCATAATTATACACACACCAGCTTTCATGTATGTGACCACAAACTTATCATCGACAAATATTTATGAGAGCATAAATTGTGTATACACTATGTAAACACACTTATCATAGAACAAGTTTACAATAAAATAAATTTTAAAAACTGACACAAGTAGTACTATTTGTGCTCTAAATCTGTGCCCTAACAGACGTCCAACTTCAAGACTGAGTAACTGACCAACACTGCGAACCAACAAACACTTATAAAGTTTTGATTTCTATAACCTAGTAAATACAAAAATTCAAGTCCTTGGTTAACTTGAGTGCAAAAATAAAAGTTCTACTTTGGAGATGCTTCCTAACACCACTACCATTTTATTCAGCTCCTGTTGCAATACAACTAAAAGCCAGAGAGACAAATACTTCAGTTGAATAGCTAATATTTAATATCTCAGGGAGAAAGGAAGCAAAATATTTAAATGGTAACTACTGTATTTTAGTTAATCACTTGATTTGGTGTATTAACTAATTCCCCTCTAAGTCCAATGCTTTTGGTGCAAACCGTGGAAACTTGAGTTATCTATCTACTTAAGTGCTACAGACCCCATTACATCCGTGAATTTCTTCACTCTTGCCTTATCCTTCCCAAGAAAACAAAATGGGGGCAAGACCATCCTATCTTAAGAAACTAGGAATAACAGCTTGCATTGCAGATTAAATTATATTTTTCTGCTGGTATTCAAAACTTAGAATGTAATGAAGTGGACAAAATACATTGTAATGACAAAGTAAAAGGTGGGAAATTAAGTAAGAATAATTTTAAGTTTTCTGGATGAGGATTAAACTGACTGTAAAAGCTAAAAGACTCTGGCAGTAGCAGAGATTGCCTTTGCTCCATCAAATGAGGACTTTTTGTCCTTAAACACCCTAATACAGTGAAGGAAAGGGAAAGAAAAAACAAAACAAGGAAAACCAAACCAAAGAAACAAAAAAACCCACACCAAAACCACACTCAGCTGTCAAGAAGAAAAATAAAAGGGGGAAAAAAACACAGAGATCACATGGCCTACAACTAATTGTTGTCTATTAAAATGAACACAGGTTGAAATACCTCAGTAGCTTCTCTAATTCAATTTATACAGTACCATCTTGTGCACTGGGTCTTTAGGACATGGACGCAATTGGGTAGCATCCATATGCAACATTTATGGAGCCTACACACTTCCAGCCATACACATTATTATATGGAAACAATGATCTGAAGCTAGCCAAGTAGTCTGGAAATCCTTTTGCAAAGTCTAAAGTCATCCTCACTCGGAGTGAAGGAGAGATCTGAGGAGACACACTGCTGACACTAGGTGCTGGCCACGGTCACATGTCTTTCCCATGTATTCATCAATGACAAAAGTAAGCTTCTCATCCCAGTATATAAATCCTGCAAAAGACTATGCACAGTCATCTTATCATATCTAGCAGCCTCTCTTGAAGCAACTGTCACTGGGACCACAAATAATCTGTATTATCCACAGGCAGAGCCAAGAAAATAAAAAGAAAGTAGTTAGAAGTGTTGATTTTAGTTCTTTTCTTTCAGTTCTCTTTCAGTCACTGCTCCTGGTGCTCCAGCAGCCCTTCAATCATTATGCATTCCAAGCTATACTAGCTTCCTCATTCTTTGCCCAGTTTGAAGAAAATGAAGCTTTTACAATGATGATAATAAAATTATGGAATGGTTTGGGTTGGAAGGGTCCTTGAAAATCATCAAGTATCAATCCACCTGCCATGGGAGGGACACCTTTCACTAGACTAGGTTTCCCAGAGCCCCATCCAACCTGGCCTTGAACACTTGCAGGGATGGGGCATCCACAACTTCTCTGGGCAACCTGCTGCAAAGCCTCACTGCCTGCACAGTAAAGAACTTCTTCCTAATATGTAATCTAAATCTACTCTCAGTGTGAAGCCAATTCCCCTGGTCCTGTCACTACATGCTCTTGTAAATAGTCCCTTTCCATCCTTCTTACAGGCTTCCTTCAGGTACTGGGAGGCCACAACTACGTCACCCTGAAACCTTCTCTTTTCCAGGCTGAACAATCTCAATTTTTTTAGTCTTTCCTCGCAGGAGAGGTGCTCCATCCCTCTAATCAACTTAGTGGCCCTCCTCTGGACTCACTCCAACAGGTCGATGTCCTTCCTGTGCTGGAGACCTCAGAGCTGGATGCAGCACTTCAGGTGGTGTGGAGTGAAGGGACAGAATCCCCTCCTTTGACCTGCTGAACACGCTGCTTTTGATGCAGCCTAGCATACAGTTGACTTTCTGGGCTGCAAGCCCACACTGCCAGTTCATTCACCAACACCCCAAATCCTCTGCTGCAGACACACATGAATGCTTGTATGTATATAATGAACTTGGAACTCACTAGTTAATTTTGACCCAATCAACTACAAGATTAAGAAGTCTCTGAGATATTCAACTACTTAAAAATCCTTCATATTCGAGCATCTAAATACCCCTGCAGAAAAGTCTGTACATTGAACCTAGGCTTTAATCAAGCACCATATAAAATAGAGCAGGAAAAAAATCTAGTTATTGTTCAGCATATTGTTCAAAAATGAGACAAATCCACAGGAAATCAGGCATTAATAATCTTGGCATCAATTAATCACTTGATCTTATTCATATGACTTGTTCCTTCAGGAAAAACATCTTTAGATGTGTAGATGTGGCACTTAGGATATGGTTTAGTGATGGGCTTCACAGTGCTGGGTTAACAGTTGAGTCAATTAGGGACATGGTTTAGTGGTGTACTTCGTAGTGCTGGGTTAACAGTTGGAGTCAATGATATTAACGGTCTTTCCCAACCTAAAAAAACTATGTTCCTATGTAACCCTGCAATTTAGCACCACTTCACTGATGACAGATTGAGTCCAGACCACAAGCAGCATGAAAATATTCTGCTTTTCTTGGACATCCAATAGATAAAAGTGTCTTGAAGTTACTGACATCTTTTATGTGAATGTATTAGATTACATGTTGTACTGTAGCTACTATAGAGTGCTTCACACCTTGAGAGGGCTGTTTAAACCCGCTAACCTGTAATTTCCTCCCTCTTCTTCTAAACCAAGTACAGTGTTTTTAACATTGTTTTGCTTTATTCCATTAAGTAAAGCGGGACTATTCATGTAGCAAAATGCTATCACCCGATTACCAAAGTCCTCTACAGTGACTTCTTATATATGTAATTGATCACTGTAATTCCCCACTGACCTGCTGGGATACTCCAGTCCATATTCTCTCTATAGGACCAAATGACATAATCTCATACTCTTTCAAGAAAGGGCACATAAATCTTTAAGATCAACTTGTTATCTGACACAGAGGTTCACAAATCAAATTTTCTTTAAATGCAAGAGTAATGCTTTCCATCAAAATGTAATCACCATCAACAGAGTAAACAAAGTCCCCCTCCTGTTTAACTGGACTATTGAGAATGTATTAATTACAACAAGCAGTGTGCTTCCAGTACAAGATCTACTTACTCCAACAAACTCAATCTCGTCTTCACTTTCAGAAGCTGGTGATTTACTCCTGTGAAGGCTGACAGAGCTATGAGACTCCATTATCTAAACAGACAGAAATCAAAACATGATACAGCATTTTATTTTTTTTCTTTAACTAAACAGCATTTTCCATTTTATGTCTGCTTTGGCTTTACAGTCTATCTGCACTCAACAAGCCTGTCTCTCATTCACTGACAATTATCACTGATACCCGAAGAAGCAATAAACGACTTCGACTCGAACCACGCTGCTGTATTTTTCCAAGTATGCAAAACATAGCTTAACCTACAAAGCATACCAATACCTATACTCCTCCAGCAGCCACCGCTGCAGTGTAGCAGCCCAGTAACATGCTTGAGGCCGAAACCCCAGCGAGAGCCGAGGCCTGAGCTTCAGCCTAGCGGCTCCCAGGCACGACCGAGCCGGGGCAGGCCGGTAACAGCCGCGGGCGAGCTCGGTCGTTTTGAGCAGCCGCGGCTGTTTTCGCTGCTCCGGGCCGCTCTAGGACCGCGGCAGAGCCAGAGGGCTGAGCTTCGTGCTCCAAAACAAGCGCCGTCCCGCCCAGCTCCGGCCGGGCTCCGCGAGCGGCGCGGAACGGCCCCGGCAGCCCTGCCCCAGCGGGCGGCGGTGCTGACTCACGTTTCTGGCCCCGCACGGGCCCCCCGCCCCGCGGGCTGCGTTCGGCCCCGCCGGGCTGACGGTTCGGCTGCTCGCCGGGCACAGCCCCGCGGGCGCTGCGCTAAAACCGGCGGCCCCGAGCTCCGCCCCGGCCCCGCTCATTCACCGCCCCCTCCCGCAGTCACCATCGTCCCGACCTGCTGTGTCCCCGCTTCCTCTGCGGCCCGAGGGCGGCGCGGCGGGCAGGGGTGGGGCGGGAGCGCTGCGGGGCTCGCCGGGAGCGGGAGGTGCCGCCCGCTGCGCCCCGCGTTGCCCATGGCAGGTGCCTTCGCCACCGCGGCAGCGCCATGGCGCGGACCCCGGCCGGAGCTCCGGGCGCTTTCCTTCTCTCGTCTTACCTTCAGCTGCGCTCCATCGAGTTCCTGCTCGGAGGGGGGAAACCTCCATGCCGCTTCCGGGGGAGGGGGAGGAGGAAGGGCCGCCATTGGGGCTGGCAGCGGAAGGGAGGGAAGGCGGGAAAATCGCCCATCTGCCTGCCTGTGCGTGCCCAGCCTGCCGGTGCCCAGCCTATCTCCCGGTGGTTCTATCCAGCCCAGGCATCTACAAAGATCCTTTGTGAGGATCTTACGGGAGGTGGTGCCACGGGCACTAGTGAAGTCCAGATAAACAATGTCCATTACTCCACTCGTCTACCAGGGCAATCAGTTTATCATAGAAGTTTATCAAGTTGGTCAGGCCTGATTTCCCCTTGGTAATTCCATACATATGACTCAGTGATTTTCTTGACACTGAAGTACCTGGAAATGGTTTCTGGGAGTAGCTGCTTCGTTACCTTCCCAGGGATCAGGATAAGGCTGATGGGCCTGTGGTTCTGTGTGACCTCCTTCCTGCCCCTCTTGAAGATGGAGGTGGCATTTGCTTTCCTCCAGCCTCAGGCACCTCTCCTAGTCACCATGATCAATGAAAGATTATTGAGAGTGGCCTTGTCACAACATCCATCAGCTCTTGTCAGTACCTGTGAGTGCATCCTGTTAGGACCCATTGACTTAGCATATGTCCATTGATCCTCTCCCGCCAAATGTTCATCTTCCTTGGTTCAGCCTTTCCCCCTGGTTTCTGGAACCTGGGATTCCTGAAGGTTGGTCTTGCTAGTAAGGACTGAGTCAAGGAAAGCATTCACCAACTCAGCCTTTTCCAAGTCCTGTGTCAGCAGGTCATCCCTCTCATTTAGCAATGGGCCCACATTTTCCCTAGTCTTCCTTTTGTCACCTATGAACTTACAGAAGCCATTCTTGTTGTCTTTGACATCTCTAGCTAGATCCAATTCCAGTTGTGCTTTAGCTTTCCTAACTTCATCCCTGTATGTTTGAACAATGTTTCTGTGTTTCTCCCAGGTTACCCATCCTTGCTTCCACCCTTTGTATGCTTCCTTTTTTTATTTGAGTTTGGCCAAGGAGCTCCTTGTTCATCTATGCAGGCCTCATGGCATTGTTGCCTAATTTCCTACTCACTGGGATGAACTCTTCTTGAGCTCGGAGGAAATGATCTTTAAATACTAACCAACTTTCTTGGACCCCTTTTCCCTCCAGGGCTGTACCCCATGGGACTCTTCCAAGTAGATCTTTGAAGAGCCAAAATTCACTCTCCAGGGTTGTAAGCCTGCTTTTTACACTTCCCCTCCCCTCAGGATGCTGAGCTCCACCATCTCATGGTCACTACAGCCAAGATTACCTTGAGCTTCACATTCCCAACAGTCTCCTTATTGCTATGAGGTCCAACAAAGCATTGCTTATTATTGGTCTTTGTTGACTCCTTTATGACTTGGAAGAAGTTATCAGTGCACTCCAGGAACCTCCTGGATTGCTTATGCCCTGCTGTATAGTCCCTGCAGCAAATATATGAATGGTTGAACATGACAATGTGAGGCTGCTCCTCTCTGTCTACCTCATCCACTTGTTCTTCCTGGTCAGGCAGCCTGTAGCAGACACCCTCTATAATGTTGCCTTTACCTGTCCTCTCTTGAATCCTCCCGCAAGAACTCTCATTCAGCTCCTTGTCCATCCCCAGGCGTTGCTCCATGCACTCCAACCGCTCTTTCACATAAAGGAGAACTTCCCTTGCTTGATGTCCTGTCCAGTCCTACCTAAAGAGCTGGTCTCCATTCATGGGAGCTATCCCACCATGTCTCTGTGATCCCAACAAGATCGTAGCCTTGCAGCTGCACACGGACTAACTTATCATGTTTATTCCCTGTGCTGCATACATTAGTATGCAGGCACTTTAGAGAGGCACCCCAGCATGTTGACTGCCTAGAAAGGGTTTGGGGGATTTCTCCATTATGATGTTTGGTAGACATTTCTTTGCTGACACTCAAAGAAGGTGAGCCCTCTTAAGCCCCATCTTATTGTTTTGTGTGTTCCTGTCACACCACCCTATGCCCTTTGCTTTTCTCCGTGTCCATCAATCCCTCACAGGGCTGCTGGTTACTCTCTCCCTCTCCCTTACTTCTTAGTTTAAAACCTTCCTTATGTAATCAGTGATCCTACTAATAAAAATAGCTTTGCCCTGCTTAGTGAGGTGGCTCTCACCTCTCTCAAGCAGACAGTGATCTGCAAGCATGGTCCCATGGTCATACAACTCAAATCTCTGTCACCAACACAGGTTCTGCAAGCAATTATTTACTTGTCCTATTAGTGCCCTTCTCCTCATTTCCCCTCATTGGCAGGGTCAAGAAAACACCACTCAGACCCCCATGCCCATGATTCTTGCTATTTGTCTGCTACTACTCTCCTGCTTCCTCATGTAGTTACTTCTAGCCACCTAAAGAAAAAGTCAGTATGAATCATCTTTACTCAATGCACTGGCTTTGAGTAAGCTGAACAGTGTAAATGTCACCTATGAGTTCTGTGTTGGTATAAAAGAGCTGCTTGCACACCCACAAAGCACTTCACTGGTGTGTGCTTATCAAATCCTATATACACAGGAGAGAAAGAATTCAGGGTTGCATGTTAAATTTTGGTGTTATGTGAGCTTTGTGAATAAACAACTATCAGTAATAACATATCATGTGGTATTTAATGTAAGCGTTAATTTGGTGCACTTATTTTTCTTGAAAACATAGTTACTAATGTTAGTTTAAAGCCTTTTTCATATATGTACGAAAAAACAGCTTTATGACAGGAGATGGATCTACTGAACTGCTAGTTATATCTACTAGTTATATACTTATTACCAAATTTGTACAACTTAATCACCCTTGTTGAATTGTATAAACAACACTGATTTGACCAGTTTTATTTCATTGCTAAAATAATGGAAACCTCACTACCACTTGGAAAATTAAAGTCATTGTTGCAGCCTAAACTTTAATATTTTGCATTTATAACTTAAATTTGCTAACAGAATGTTGACAGCAGTCATTCTGTTTGTGGCTTGCTTTTTCATTTCATAACTTCTGATTCTTGAGAATAGATAATATGAGGAGCCGTAGTAACAAGTTACTAAAACAGCAAGGTGGTATTATTTTTCCAAACTTTGAGACCCTATGAAGATGACATTAATTTGAATATGAACTTTTCTGTAGTAATTGATGTAAAGGTTTACTCATGCAATGACAAATCCAAAATTCCTCTTTGTATGTAAACAATACAGTTAAGGAAAAAAAATAGTAAGCGAATTGCCATGCAATTATGTCAGCATTTCCAGCATGCTAACAAAACTCAGAATTCCAGAATTTGTGTATTTCATCTACTTCCATGGAAAGCACAGTTTTCAGACTTTGACCCAGTTTAGGAATGTTCTTATGCAGAGCTTGTTGGGAAGGGAAGGAGAGAGGAGGCAAGGTGAGAAAAGGCAGGGGTTTTCATAAGCTCTTCATGAGCTAAGATCTCTAAGTTCAAACATCCAAAGGAGGTCTGGGTATCATATAGAATGTGGAAGCTGTTTCTGAGCAGACTGTCTTTATAAACTCAGTAGCACTCTCTAGCAAATAATTCCACATAGTCACTACATACTGGTCAGATTATATGACTAACACATCTGTTCTAGAGCAGGCAGCAGTTACAAGTATTGAGGCCATGTTACTGAGAACACAGCTGCCTTGGGCAGGACACATCTCCAGGATGAAGGACCACCGCCTCCCTAAGATCATGCTCTATGGTGAACTTGCCTCTGGCTGCCGCAAGAGAGGAGCCCTGAAGAGGAGATACAAGGACTCCCTGAAACAACATCTCAGCCTTGGTCATATCAATCATCATCATTGGTCTACTCTGGCCTCCAATCGGAAGGCCTGGAGACACACCTTCTATAACGCTGCTGCTTCTTTTGAGAAAGCACGCAGGATCACTCTTGAGGAGAAAAGACAACACAGAAAGAATTGTGTCTTGTCGATACCAGCTAAGGAGTCTTTCCGCTGTGCCTTTTGCAACCGGACTTGTCTATCTCACGGTGGCCTTTTTAGCCACCAGCGCGCTTGTAGCAAGTGTGGGTAGAGTCCTTCCCAAATCTTCGTTGGCGAAGCCTAGCCATGATGAGTATAAGGACACAGTCACTATGTGTCCTTAATTATAGGGCAGGTTTAGATTAGATATTAGGAAGACATTCTTTACTTGAAGGCGGTGAGGCACTGGAACAGGTTCCCCAGAAAAATTGTGGATACCCCATCCCTGGAACTGTTCAAGGCCAGATTGGATGGGGCTTTGAGAAGCTTGGCCTAGTGAAAGCTGTTCCTGCCCATGACAGGGGGGCTGGAACTAGATGATCTTCAAGGCCCCTTCCAACCCAAACCATTCTATGATTCTGTGATCTGAATTCAAACATATTTAAACATCCTTGTTTCTCTCTTGGCTCCCTAAAGTAAGTGAAACATTGATTGCCCTTTTAACCATTGATTTCCCTCTTGTATCAACATGGCATACTGCCACTTATTCTTGATCTAGGAAATTCAGGATCTTTTGACTACTATTTGTATACCCTAATAAGAGGAGACATGAACTTGACATGCATTAAACCCCCTGATTTATTCAACAGTATAGTTTTTCACTAAGGTCTTTATCCCATTCTTCACAGATTTCAATATTCTTCCTGCCTTAGGAAAGCAAGTGCTCTTCTGAGCACTTCATGATAAACAATGACGAAATTCTTTTCCATGGTAACCTTCAAATTCAATCTAATATGCATTAATAGAAATAAATAGTTCAAAATATTACTCTTAGTATTGCTTACCTTTTCAGTAGTAACTCTACAGTAATAACTCTATAGTTATTAAATGCCATACAGTCATATAGCTGTTAGTTTCTTCTGCAGTAGCCATCAACCTTCTCCAGTTGCGAGAACTGCAACTAACATGTCCTCTGTCACTCTTATAAGAAGAATTTTACACTTTTACCACCACACATTTACCTATCACCAATAATTTTGATTTTAGTGCAAATTTTGGGAGAAGTAGCATTATGCTTCCTGTTAGAACTTTCTGACAGAAACTGAAATAGTTAATGGCTTAAACATTTTGGGGATCACCAAAAGACTTTTGTCCACTATAACAAACTGCAAAGAAGCAGCTGCTCATCTACCAAAACCCACCCCTCTCTAAATATGCCTACTAATTTGGACTGCAAAAGGACCTTGAGATAAGGAAATACCATTGACCAACTATCACAGGTGAAAGGAGAAGTATGTATCCACACGTGTAAGA